TTATTTTATTTTTTACATGTTTTGCAATCATATTCTATACACATGGACACCAAATAGAAGCATATGGTGTGCAGTTTACAGATACAAAACAAACACTGCAGTTTGAAGCACGATTTGGGATTTTTTTCAACAACCATTGCAATTAAATGTTTTATCAGAGGATTCTGTTCAAAATTGACTCTTTAAACATGAATAAAGAGTGAATAAAGACTGAACTAATACTGGAATCACACTTCAGAGCATGTTTGTTGAGATTTGAACATCAGAGTTAGCATTTTGTTTACAGAATAAGAAGGACAATTTTGTTGTTTGTGGACGAGATTATGGTACTTCTAACACTGCAGCCTTTGCGATTTGCTAATAGGGTCCATTCATATTGAAATTTTGTTTTGATTGCGATTAATCTCGCAGCTATATCCAAACACCAGTCTGGAATACAAGTTTTCGGTGTGTGTTTCTTTAGTCGTCGCACCATAATTTCTAAGATCGATTTTAATGTGGACAAAGTCTTAGTTTCAATATAGCATTATCTATTTGTGCTAAACCATTACTTTCTTCCATTAAAAGCCAGTCTAATTTCTTTCTAAAAGCAGCTCTTCCTACCTGCACAATCACTCCAAATCTGGGACAATTAATACTTTGACGAGTTTCCATTTTTAGCAATGAGCACCAAAACAATGGCACTTTCTGTAATAGCTTCTAATACGGCAATGGCAAAAAAAAAAGCTCTCTTATCTTATACTCGCTTTTGAATTTCAATCAAGTCAGTAAGTGCGATCCACATGCACATTTAACAGGTTACCAAACAAAACAAAAAAACTGTAAAAATAAAAATAAAACAAGTTCTGATTTCTGTATTGAACCATATATATACAGTACAGCGCTGAACGTTATGCAAGCCTGAACTCCAAATGATTATTGTAAAACATAACTCAAATTGTCCATTCTTTCTTTCAATCCAAAAACAGTATTTGGAGAGGTTCGATGCACACATTTTGACACACAACAATGTCAATGAGGGGATAAAAGACAGCTACAATTCACGCACAAAGAAGAGGTAAACAGGTTCAAAATCAAAATGGCGGACATGACAAGAGAAGATTTCGCGGGCAGGCAGGCAGGCACCATGTTAAAGGGTGTGTGTGTTGGTGTCACACTCTTGGATACGCACACGTGTTTTCCGAAACGGGCTAACACTGGGATCAAAAAACACTGAAACATCCAAAAATCCACGGCACGGGCAGAAGAAGACGGAAGCCCACCACTTTAGTGAGGTGAAACAGCTGGCCATAGCAACCGGAAAGACCATGGCAGAAGATACAAGGACGACAAACATGTACAAAGTTAGATTCGAGTTCGCTGTTTACAAAGATAGAAAATACATTACGTTATATATTTATAGGAAAATTTACGAGTAAGTGGAAGTACTGGTATGCAATAATGTATGCACAATGACTAAAAATGTAAATAATTATTCTTTCATTATAGGAAGAATCAAAATTTCACAATATTCTCTGATCGTGTAGCATTAATGGCAGCAAAGTTACATAACAGTTGAGTTCTAACTTCGCGAAGTAATCAAATAAGTCAGTAACACAAAAGAATCAGGTTCAATATTTTCAAAGTTTTCTCTAGCCTATGTATATACCTTCTTATTTAAATAATCTACAGTGTCAATGTATTCTCTAAAAAGTGACAAACCTAAACATTTGAAATTAATTTGCGCAAAATGCAATACTTCACTGACATATAAAACTGGAAGCCCATTACTGTAGCTCTTGTAGACCACTAAGAAGCATCTTTTATCCTAATTTTTCAGACTATACGAAGCAATTCTTATAAATACTTTCTACACTTCGCTGTTTCCTATTCATATTTTAGCAGATGGACATTTATGGAAGTGTTATTGACGATCTTTGGTAGTTCACCAGTTGTGATTGGAAGTTATCTCAGAGGAAGTGTATTCGTAGCGTATCCCTCATTGATTGATTGTACATTGTGATACTAAAAAGCAAACTTAAAGGTGCATAGCGTAACTTTTCTGGCGGAGGGTCTGTCAAACGCAAGATGCTTATCGCCATGGAGATGTTAGTGCTTCGTCTGGAATGTTTCACAGTATGGTGTTCAACCCTTTTAACTTCACTGAGACCAAAGCTGGCCAAGTTACAGGTCAGATCTGTGGAGAGGCGACCACGCTCACAGTCAGAATACATGCTTTTGAAAATGTTTTTGAGTTCTAAGACCACATATAATTGAAAAAAATATGGAACTATGGAACATTCCAGGCAGAACAAGGACATATCCATAGAAACAAGCAGGTGATGCCAAAAAGTTACACAGTGCACCTTTAATTAAACCAAAAATACTTTAAACCAAACTACTCATTTGTACATGTTTGCGTCCTTATACGTCACCCATGGACTCCAGGCTGCAAAAAGATCTCCCTTGCTCCTCCCTGAAAACTCTAGTCGCCCGCTCAGGAAAAAGAACCCATAAAAGATTCAAAGAAGAAAAACTCCATTATAATCACGCGTATAAGAACTGGCGGTTTTTCCTCTAGGATCAAGGTTTATATGAAAATAAGTCATGCTTCATGCTAAATACATAGTTTATCTTACATGATCTTTGAATAAAAAAGATTTGCTTTTTATCTTATTTACAAGCACCCATGCAATATAACTGAGAAAGTCCTGCAGGTCAAATTGCTTCAATTAAGAAAGGAAAAAATAAAATATTTTCTAACCTTTTTACATAGTTGCCCACAAGGGACAAATTGCTTATATCTTTATGAGGGTAGAGTGAGGAAAACAGACAACAGAAATCCATATCTGTTCAAATGAAGTGGAGGAGTGGTAGCGGCTGGAATTAGCTACAGATTTTTGATACCAGGTTTGTACTATGTCTGTGGACTTTACACTGAGCAACAAGAACAACAAAATGAAGGAGATATTGCCTGACACCCGGCACTACCCATCGCTAACATGAGCTTTTTAATATATATTTTCTTAAATACTATGAGTGCTCTTGAAAAAAACTATGGATGCTTCCATAGACCCTTTCACGAATGACAACATTAGCAACTGTGCGCACATTCTTTCTCAAATTAGCAGCGAAAGGAGCAGTTTTGTTTCATTTTGACTCCATGAAACTTGAAAATACTGGTTTAATATTCATTTTAGAGGCTTGCAAGTTCACCTCCTGTTAAGAAATAAATATTATGCTGGTGGTTAAGACTCAAATCTAGACTGCAACCTTTTGTGCTCCAAAAAGCTAGCATAGATAGGCCACGATTAGCTTTTTTGATGCTAATGCTAATTCAAAACGCACTGCTAAACAAATATGCGCACACAGCTAAGTCAAACGCTAAAAGGGTCTATTATTAAATTAAGAAGTAGTGAAAATCATTGTAAGTGCATGAAGATATATTATATTGGGGTTTTACAATTATTTTGAGACTTAAAGTTCCCAGCTTTATTCTACTATGCCTTCTTTCTTTTCTTTTTTGTGTTTTTTTAGCTGTCGTGTGTATGGGCTACATGAAGCAACCTGGTCGCGTATCTTTGGCACAGTCTCGCAATTGTGCTCATGGATGTAATAGGAGAAAATCAGCGCGCCAACAAGAATGAACGTTACGAAGACAAAATGCGGTCGGAGGACTGACGAAAAATAAAATAAAAATTACAATTGCTCATCTTGTCGGCGACGCTGGAAGATTGCTACAGATTGACATAGAGAAACAGATAAGACAAAACACCCATCTTCTGTTCGTAACACAACTCAATTTAGTCCAAATTAGTGACGACTTTTGTATGGCTTTCATCCCCATTTTGAACAACAAAAACTACGCAGACACATGAGAAATACCCATAGATGTTAGTGTTGTTGAACATGTAGGAAAACATAGATTTTTGATATTGCCACAAATAAGTAGGATTCACCTAATGCCCTGCAGATAAAGTTAGAGGGAGATGAGAAGTGTCCATAGACTAATGCTGTTACCTGTTGACCTATCAATATGCTGTTACGAGCCACTTTTAAAGCTCCACTATGGGATGTTTGTAGCAGAAGGTATTACCAGGTTTATTTAAGAAAGGAAAGTCTGGAATATGGTTTCAGTTTGCATTTCACTGCCAATTGTATCCTTAAATGTACTCAAAACTACTATTACTACTACAAAAGTTGAATTAAAAGCACAGTTTGACAGTGGAGATTCCCATTCATTTAAATCAGTAATTTAAATGTACGCATCTGGCTATTTTCATGAAAGATCAGTCTTAAATTAGACCCATGCTAATTGAATGAGTTAGTAGAAGTGCTTTTATGAAACAAGATGCTACGCTGCACATTTCTCTGATCTGGCCAAGATTTTAAAAACTTATATCAGGTTATTCATCTTAATTCTAGTCTAGAGGTAGTTTATTTTAAGATAACTTGCCAAGTAAAACGATCTTGCTGCATGGAGATATAATTTCACTACTTTTAAGTCATTTTTGATAGATTTAAGTGTTAGATTTTGGCCAAGCTTTTTTGCAGTGTAAGGGAAGTAGTTTTTGACATAAAGTCATTTCAATTCACCTAAAATTCTAACAAATTACACAATATTTTGCTGGTTTATATTGAAGCAAGGTGAGTTTTGTAGCATATCTAACAGAGGAGGTCCATGAAAGTATGCAACAATTAATATATTATTAGCTGTGTATGCTTTATCAACCTTTTCCCACTGTAGTCACTTGTAATACTGCTGCAAAACAAATTCATTTCAATACAGTACAAGAGACTCTGTGGGGAAAGAAGTTGAACCAGCAGTTTCTAAACACAAAATGAAATCCAGATGCGTATATTTAAAATAGTATTAGTAATTGTTAAACTTTTCTTGTTTTGACTGTAAATTTGTGTATTGGTAGTTTTCAGATTCTGTGATGTCATCTGAAACCCAATTCAGGATTACAGCGAGACAAAGTGCTACAAATGTCCTGCAGTGGAGCTTTAGAGGAGCTGGTGTGTCCTGTACTGTGCGTGTGTGTGCGTGTCTGTGTCTTAGTTTCTCAGAGTCTCTTTCTGCTCCTTCTGGCCTTTAGCCGCTCGGTTTGTGATGTTGTTGAGGCAGGCGCGGACCCCGGCCAGATGCAGCAGGGACCCAGCCGCCTCCTTCATCTCCTCATCGTCACTCTCCGGTTTCTCCAGAGCAGCCGCCGCGCGTCTCTTCTTCAGGGGCAACGTGTCGCTAAGGCCCCGCGCTTTGTTTTTGGTCCAGGGCAAACTGCTGCCGGCTAGCGTCCCAGCTCCAACAGACGCTATCGCCCCGGGGCCTGTGCTACTGTTGCGTCTCTGTCCGCGCGGGGCATTCTGGGTAATGTAGGCCGCACTCGTGATGTGGGAATCCAGGGGTATCTCGCGGGGCTCCTGTTTGACGTCCTCTTGGATCTCCACGGCGATGATGTCGTCGTCGTGGAGAGGGGAGGAGGGCGCGGGCGGGGAGTTGGACTTGGCTGTGCTGTAGGTGTGGTCCTCCTGGAGGTCCTCTCCGCAGGGGGGAGGGGAGTATCTCAGCGGGCTGTCCTGTCCCCGACTCAGGTAATCTCCCAGGGATGATCTGTAGTGACAAGGGCACAAGACAGGGGGCATTAGAGGACACACAAAGGACAGAAGCATGCAGATAAAACTGTGTGTTATCAGGAGGCCTTTACATGCACAATATAGTAGCTCTGTTGCTAGGGTAGACCGACTAAAGAAGGGGTTTTCTGTTCTTAAAAAACAAAATGTGGCACAGAAAACAAGCACAAACACTTTCCTCCAATAAAGTATTTATCAGCAAAATTTGCCTAATGATCTAATATGAGAGTCATTAACAAATAATGAAGAGAAAACATCCGACGTGCAAGGCAATTCTGAGTTGTGTTGGTAATTTTGTGTTGGAATATTTTCTACCTGCACCAAACCTCTTATGAGTGTTGCATCAGTTAAATGTCTGAAATGTATCCCTGAAACAACTTTTTATATTAAAGGCCCCATATTACGCTATTTTCTGATCTACGTTATTGTTTCCACATCATAAACATCATTAAGAAGTTGCCTTGATACATATCTCGATATAGTGAGCTTTGGATTCAATATGATATATTTCAAATCGATTCAATATGGTTCAATAAAAAATAATGTCAAAATTATGCTTGTGATATTAAAAGTCTTTGTTAAATCACTTCTTGTGCAAAGAGAATCATCAAAACAGTGAAAATGTCAAATGAGTTTCCTTCCTCTAAACAAACAAAACTGTAGCTCTGTAACACAATAATTTAGTAAAATATATCCAAAAAATACTCTTGGCGATATATCGATACAGCAGCCCACGATATGGATACAGTATCATCACATTAAACGATACAATATATAGATATTTTTATATTCTTTCACACCCCTACTGGAGTTGTGTTTTGTTTCAGTCACACAAGCCTTGTATATTTAGGCAGTTCTACTCTCTGTTCCACCTTGTGACATCATGTGGTAATACAGAAAGTACTCCACTGTATTTTTAAACTTCATACACCTTCACTAGAATCATATGGATAATTTCAGACTTGGAATTTCCAATCTTTTCTATACAAAAGGTAGCTGTTAACTTCAGCGTGATGACATCACAAGGTGGAACAGAGCATTATGAGTCCTTGGGAATATAGACAGACTAATAATAAAGGGTAAATATGTGTGAATGAAACAAAACACAACCCTGAGTATGTTTTTGAGGAGGTAACAACATTATAATATGGCTTACAGCTCAATTTTGCGTAATATAGAGCATTTAAATATTTCAATTTCATGTTATACTAAAACACAAATGCAGCGCTCTTGAGGACAGCCTCACATGCAGTGCTGTGAGGTAAATTCATAGTTCACATGTGTACCGTGCCTGAGGTGTTCACAGCTGTGGACCTCTGTATAATTGTATGCACCACACTTAAATAGTGCAGCGAGAGTGGCCAGGTGGTCCGACGCACGCTCCACTTCATGTCAGTGCACATTTGGCTGCTCCAGTGATAATCTATCAACCTAAAACACCCCTGCGGTCCTGCTCATATTTGCGCCCAGATTAAAACCTTTTGGAAAAGCGCAGACTCATTTCAGGAGTGCCACCGCTGCATTTCTCAGTGACACGCGTCCTGGTGGGCAGAGTGAGTGTGACTGGCTCAGCATAAACAGGACCTGGCTTTAAAGGTGCATTGCGTAACTTTTCTGGTGGATGGGCCATCAAATGCTTTTCTTTGTGGATATGTTACTGCTTTGTCTGGAATGTTTCACAGTATAGTATTAAACATTTCTTTCTTCCTGGAGAGCAAACCAGACCGTATTACAAGTCAGATCTATGTAGAGGCAAGCCAGCTTACAGTCAGAATGCTTTTCTAGGTATAGGTTTGAGCCATGAAACCACAAAAACTCAAATCTAGCCATGTTAAGATGACTCGAAATAAGAAAGTTTTAATCGTGATTTGAGCAAATTTTATGTGACAAGTAAAATGATCTCCCCATGGAATAATTTAAAATATAAAAATACACCTTGCTACACTAGAAGAAAAACAACAACTCTTTGCACTTAAAATAAGACACAAAATCTAATGTTAACGTAAGTCGCACTTTTTTTCATGGTTTGGGAGGTCCTGCGACTTACACTTACACTCCGGAACGACTTATATATTATTATTATTATTATATTATATTATATATATTATATATATTATATTATATATTAAATTTTTCACACTGACAGCCATGAGAGGGCACTCTAGACTCATGTACTCCTGTACCACTGTCACTTCACACTCTACTGCACATGTTGGCTGCAAAAGAAAGAGAAAGAGCCACTGTCCTGTCTGGTATCACGTCAGTCGATTGCACCATTACTTCTGTATCACTGACAATTTAAAATTTAAACAAACATAAAGACAACTGAAACCACTCTGTCGGAATTCAGAAAGGCCAGAATAATTCTAACTGCTGAGTCTGACGACAGCCACGCAGAAGATGAAGTGATGCTCCCCGGAGGTCGCGGAGTTGCTCAGAAGTGACACCGAGAATGAAGTGTTCAATGGATTTAGTGATTTGGAGTGAGATGGAGAGTTTGGTAAATTTGTTCTGTTGTTGATACTATAGTTATCTGAAGAACTGTTCATATGTCAGACATTAACAGCCTGTTGTTCTCTGTTCTATTGTTATATTGTTTCCTGGTCTCTATTTTTAATTTCCCCCAAAAAGTGCAACTTATGGTCCGGTGCGACTTATATATGTTTTTTTCTTTTTCATTATGCATTTTTTGGCTGATGCGACTTCTACTCCAGGCAGAGCAGTGACATTTCCACAGAAACAAGCAGGTGACAGATCTCCAACCAAAAAGTTTCACAGTGCACCTTTAAATGCGTGCGAAGTGAAGCTATTTAACCACTGTCCACCCCACACTGGGCTACATGATCACCGGCTTCAGTACTCAGCTCTATTAGCGACTGACACCTCCCCTCGTAAAGCCGAATATATAAGACAGGCTACTTCTGACAACCTATAAATCAAAGCAGCTCTAGCAGTGCCGCCCCTCCTTTGGACATTGCCCCATTCAGAAGCACAGAGTTAGCATATTAATATCTTATAAGCCAAACATGCACCTCTTACAGTGATCAAATATTCACTGCATACCTTTACTGAGCCTTTGGGTATGTTTAATTCATTACAGTGGTGTGTTCTATGATGGATGAGCAGGTCCGTGCATGCTCTTGAAGCTGGCTCTCTGAATCAGAAGCCTCTCCCTCTAATAAAAAGTCTGTGTTTCAGGGGGTTATGTAAACACACCTGGTGACGTCTTATGAACGCTATAAAGATATAATTACACTATCACAAGGAGATGTTGGAGCAAGTGGAAGAATGTCTGGTTTGTTTTGGTTCTTGGAAAGCTTTTTCAAACAACACTTTATGTAACATGTTTTCATCGGTATTTAGAGTTTACAGTTTAACAAGAACCAGACCAGTAGGGTTGTAAAATTAAAGGTCCTATATTACGCAAAATTGACTCTTGTGTGCTTTAAACTATGTTATAATGCGGTTACCTCATCAAAACATAACCGGAGTTGGGTTTTGTTTCAGTTACACATGTTTGAATAATCCTTTATTATGAGTCTGTCTACATGTCCAAAGCTCAAAATGCTCTGTTCCACTGTGTGATGTCAAATGATTCTGAGCACTTTCTGTAATACCACATGACATAACAAGGCATTTTCTGTTTGAGAGAAGAACTGAGCCTAAATATGCAGGATTTGTGAGTTAAACATGTGTGAATGAAACAAAACACAACTTCTGTTATGTTTTTGATGAGGAAACAACATTATAACACAGTTCAGAAAATAGCATAATATGGGCCTTTTAATCAAATCGAAATTGCAATTTAGATGACCACAACTGGCAAATCGCAACGGTTGCAGTTTTCTAAGTACCATAATTTACTCCATAAACAACAAAATATCCAGTCTTATTCAGCATAATTATGAAATGTGATACTTGTATTGGTTTGCCAGTTCATATTTCAGTCTATTTGTCAATTTTTCTGGACGAGTTTAAAGCTGCATTGTGCAACTTTTCTGTTTCTTCTTGTCTGATTTTTCAGTCAGGATGCCTGTTTTTATACAGCACTATAAGACATTCATGGAGAGGTATACTATGAAATACAAAGATGGTCGAACTCAAATGTACTCAGAGACATTTTATAATTTACTTGAGCAGCTTCTTAACGGTGCTTTGTGTAACTTTTCAGGTGAAGGGTCCGTCAAATCAGTCCATTTGGAATGTTTCACAGTATGGTATTAACCCTTTCTACCTTCATGAAGACCAAACCAGACCAAATTACAGGTCAGATCTGTGGAGAGGCAACCCCGCTCACAGTGAGAATGCCAAATTTTCTACATATTTTTTGAGCTATAAAACCACCTGTAATTAAATTAATCTAAGAGATGCTAGAGATGTTTATGATGTCATACTGTGGAACATTCCAGGAAGAGCAATGACATCTCTATAGAAACAAGCAGGTGATGGACCCTCCACCAGAAAAATTACACAATGCACCTTTAAATGTGAACTTTGAACAGAATCCTATTATTAAAACAAATTGCAAATCTAATCGTAATCGAAATATTGGTCAGAAAATTGCCATTGTATATATATTCCCAATGGTTCAGCGCTATAACTGTCCAGTCACATCCACAGCGGTTTCAAGGATGTACTCTGTAAGTACAGTAAGTCTTCACAGCTTAAAGTTGTTAAAGTTATAAAACTGCTGTAGACACTCTGGTCTCCTGGGGATGTTGGACCCACCTGATGGCCGAGGTCCTGCTGCCCACCGGGCTGACGGGCAGAGGTCTGATCACAGGAAACAGCGCTTGGCTTCTCACACGGGCGCCATTTTGGATCACGCCTCGAGGAACTGCAGAGAAAACAAGCAAAAGAAGACAGATACTTTTTAAGAATTTAGTATGACACTGTGTTCATTATGAATTACAATATTGATTTAAAATACAAACAGGATTATTGACTTCCTTCATGTATGACCAGGAGTATGAATGAAATGAGTACAGAGTAGGCGGGGATAGGAGGTAGGTGAAGACAGACATTTTTCAAAGCACTCGAGGCTCAAATGCAATTACTCTGAAATACAACTGTGACTAATGGAGAGGGAACGCCATTGTAGCATGGTTAAAAGCTTTCTCATAAATTTGATAGATAACAAAAAAGATCAAATGTTTAATATATAGACTAAGACAATGTGTAGTAGTTTGCTTTCACCACATACTTTCTGGGGGGAAAATGGAATTATGAGAAAAACTTTGGTATTTCAGATTTAAAACTCCTATATTATGCAAAATTGACTCTTGGGCGCTTTAAGTCATGTTATCATGTTTTTACTTCCTCAAAAACATACCTGGAGTTGTGTTTGTTTCATTCACACATGTTTGAGTAAGCCTTTATTATTAGACTGTCTACACCTTCAAAGCTCAGAACACTCTGCTCCACCTTGTGATGTCATGAAGTGGTAGTTTTCAAATTAAAAGCTCCTTTTTTTGGCAGAGATTTGCAATTCCAGGGCTGAAATCATCCAGATGATTCTAGTGAAGGAGTATGGAGCACTTCCTGTATTACCAAATGACATATCAAGGTGTAGTTGAGAAAACCACACAGCCTAAATATGTGTTTAACATGTGCGAATGAAACAAAACACAACTTTGGACATGTTTTTGACGAGAAAACAGCATCTAACAGAGATCAGAAAATAGCGTAATATGGGCCCTTTAAGCATTACACAAAACCACCATCCCATCATCACTTCACACACTGTTGTATTTTCCACCTCTCCCAAACACAAGCGCCGGTGTGGACAGAGGAGCAGGAGTCTCAGATGCGCAGGCTGCTGTCGGAAGGGCCAACAGGGCAGTATTGATGAGAGCGCCCTGGTCAAATTGAGCGGGAAAGCGTCATAAGTGAGTTTGGAGCGCCGAGAATCATTCAATTACCAACGACCGCTGGGCCAGACTAAATTTGGTCTGTCTGAAGCTATGGGCTCTCCGGCTACACTCACAACACACAGCACTATACCGCTACATAGAGACATTTATCAGTCATTACTGCACTATACAGCACGAAAAGACATTCATGGAGAGGTATACTGTGAAATACAAAGATGGTAGAACTCAAATGCACTCTGAGACATTTTATAATTTACTTGAGTTGCTTCTTTTGTATAACTTTTCGGATGAAGGTTCATCTGGAATGTTTCACAGTATGGTATTAAACCTTTCTATCTTCATGGAGACCAAACCAGATCAAGTTACACGTCAGATCTGTTGAGAGGCGACCCCGCTCACAGTGAGAATGCCTGTTTTTCTACGTATTTTTGAGCTAAAAAAACACAAAACTGTTTAATGTCATACTGTGGAACATTCCAGGTAGAGCAATGACATCTCCCTAGAAACAAGCAGGAGACAGGAACCTAAACAGAAAGTTACATAGTGCACCTTTAATAAAATACTCTGAGTCGTTTTCATACGTCATACTTTTCCAAATATCAGATTTTGTTATTCATGTTTTGTTAAAGCAGTTACCTTTATAATTACTCTTACTCGAGTGGAGGTTTATCCAAATACTTTTTCTTACTAAATTAAAATTAATTCTTGGACCAAAAATGTACTTTGAATAATAGTATTTTGATGTAACACAACTGCAATTTTTGGCTACACAATCCACCAGTCCTGAAATACCATCACACTTTCTTTTTTTTTTTTTTTTTTTTACATTTGTACAGGTTTGGGACTATCACAAAGTGTATAAGAAATAATTTAATATAGATACTGTACAATGAGAGGGAATAACAAAAACTGACTAAAATATCGTATCTGGGCTCATTTTGCAGACCTGAAAAGAAGTAGAATGGATTAAGGTTTTAATAGAAAAAATATTCCTCCAAGTAATAAAAAAGTCGACTTTAAATGATGGCGATGAATGCAAGAAACTTTTTAATGTATTTCTGCTCAGGGAGTGGAGATAATGAAGGAGACGACTGCAATGTCACCTTCAGATAAAGACACAGTATTTATGAAGGTAGCTAGGCTGTGATATTAATCTGTTTGTTTTTACATTTAAATAGAGAAAAAGCTACTTATATCTCATGTACAGCTGACTGCACAAACTGGATACAACTAAAGGGAATCAGGTATTATTGAGACAAATGGTGAAATTTTACAAAGAAGTTCATCTCATTATTGGGTGCATTTAGGCGCTATAGCGACTTAAAGGTAACCTGATTTATCAGCCGTTTTCACTTTGTAGAAACCGTCTGACCTTGCAGTGTTAGAATTCATTCACTCAACAGTAGGCGGGTACTTTTTATCATTGAACCAATCGCTGCTATTTGGTCGTCACATATGTAATGTGCCACTAACGGGACTAACTGGTATATTCAATTTTTTCCAAATCCCGTAGGAAGAAGGGCAATAACGTCTTTCCTCTTGATAAAATTCACCAAACATTCTCTTTGTTCCAACTTTAAATCCTTGATCTCGGGAATCGTTGACAACACTGAATCTATGGCTCTTCGCTGATTGGCTGGGGCCTGAACTTGCACTTCCGTGTTTTTTTGTGAACCGTCAAGTGTATTTTAATTCTTGACCTAGTTGCTGGAAATGAAATTGAGTAGAGGCACTAGGTGGCGCCAGCCTGGCTAACTTAAAGGTGCATTGTGTAACTTTTTTCTGTGTCATTGTGTTGAGGAAAACAACCTTTTCCTTCTGTGTTAGTTAGTTTCAACTTAGATAAAAAATACACTTGAAACAGAAATAAAGTCCAGATAATTTACTTATTCCAATATTAGAAAGTCATACTTATACAATGAGTCTGTGCAGACATTTCCATGCAGAGACTCAATGTTTACAATGACTTTTATATGCAAACTATAGTGGGACGCTACCATGGTGTAGACTTGGCGCCTCTTCGTTGGTGCACAGGTCAGCCAGGCCTCTTGGCACATTACACAGTCCAATCATACTCCATCCAGGGTGTTATCTGGCTACCAAGTCATGACATCATCCCTATCAGTAATTCTTGTCTTATTTAGTTAGTTTGTGATTAGATAAACATACATTTGTCTTGACATATATCTACGAGTCTCACAGCTGGGATCAGAGCTCTTATCTTCAAATGACCTCGATACAACAATGAACTATAGACGTGATTATACAAAATAGCTAAGCCTAGTTATTTATCCTAATAACTGCTCTGCCTGGAATGTTCCACAGTATGACATTAAACAGCTCTACCTGACATGTATTCAATTACAGGTGGTTTTACAGCTCAAAAATACCTGGAAAAACAGGAATTCTGACTGTGAGCGGGGTTGCCTCTCCACAGATCTGACCTTTAACTTGGTCTGGTTTGGTCTCCATGGAGATATAGAAAGGTTTAATACCACTGTGAAATATTCCAGACAAAGCAATAACATCCTCATGGAGACAAGCAGGTGGCGGGCCCTCCACTAGAAATGAAACATGGTGCAACTTTAAATCAGGGCCAAACCAAAAATAAATGAACTCACCAACTGTGTGCTAGAGCAAAAAAAGTGTTCATTGAAAGTGGAATTCTATAGCTTAGCACTACAGAGTTAGAGAAGGGAGGAGGTTGTATTCACGTTCTATAATTTCACTATATCATAATGTCATATGGAGGGCAAGGGCCTATTTAACTCTATGGGAGATTAGTTGCACAAACTTGCCATATTAATCTTATGGCTTAAAGTCCTTTCAACTGAAAACCATCACGTCTTTCGGGTTGAGTAATGGCACCACTTTCTGAAGCTTTTATGAAAACCATAATTTAACTTTTGTTTGCGTTGGCTGACAGATAAGACATGGACTTTGTGCCAGGTTTATTTATGTATTTTCATTTGTATAGGTACAGTAATTACACGGATATTAAACATAAACCAGGTAAAAAATCTGCAATCTGACAGTTAAACAGCAAATTCCACTACATAATTTAGATCTGTCCTCCAGGTCAATTTTAAAGGTGCACTGTGCAACTTTTCTGGTGGAGGGGCCGCCACCAGCTTGTCTCCATGGAGATGTTATTGCTTTGCCTGGAATGTTCCATGGTATGACATCAAACATATTAATCGAGCATTTAGTGATAATAAAAATACAATAATTCCTTCTGTGAACATGGATGAGTTCAGTGGTGTAGTGGGGATTTTTTAAGTGGGGGTTTGCGATTTGTGTCGTCATTGATGTTATTAACTTTAACGACACTTATAAATAATCACCTACAGAACATAAGTCACAGGCTACAATGCGTGAACCAGGACTAAACCAGGACTGAACCAGGACTAAACCAGGACTAAACCAGGACTAAACCAGGAACCCCAAGGACTAAACCAACTAACCAGGACAGCTAGGGTGTCCACAAAGAGCTCGGAGCTCTGCATTGGTCCTTTCGCCCGCAATCACCCGAGTGTCTACGAGGGCACAACGACACGCAATCCTGGTTCAGTTCTTGTTTAGTCCTGGTTTAGACTTGTTTTAGTCCTGGTTCAGTCTTAGTTCAATCCTGGTCCCTCATGTCTCAGGTCACTATAGGACAGTAGTGCAGATATGATGAGCCTATGCATTTTGTTTTCAACATTACCCATAACTCCGGTTTGACATTTAAGTTCTAGCTATTTTATATTTGCTATTTTTTTTATATCTCACGTCGGGGGAAGTGGGTGGACGGTGTACCCCCATGTACCACACCCACTTCACCCCTAGACGACTCTCCACAGATCTGAATTGTAATGTAGCGTAGTGTTGTAACCTGCTTGTCTCCCTCTGTACTGTGGAATATTCTAAATAAAGCAATACAATTTCCATGGAGACAAGCAGGTAGAGTACCCTCCACTAGAAA